CAAATGGCATAAGACGGACATGCAATTATTGGAAAGTCATTTCAATTTCATTTTTATCAAAATTCGATCCAAGAACAATAAATCGAGGAGAACAAAGTAGCAATCGACTTGGAAGCTTAGTAGATGGTAACTACTCAGGCCATGTGAACCTCAAAATAGTCGAGAAGAGTTCTAGGATAATTATTTGTGGTAAGGTGAATATTTGAATTCAATGTAACGGTTTGTGAAGGATTAAAAAGTATATATATATGTTTATTTTGTATTTTACAAAGATAACAAATTATGGAACAAATCATACATTCTGGAACAAGTCTCACCGAATAAGCCAGCCCAACTTAAAATGGTGAACCAGGTTTCATAGTTGAATCCATGAATCCAAGTCAAATTGATATGGGTTTAAGATCAAGACAAGTTCTCCTAAACTGAAAGTCTAATTGAGTCAATTCAGACAAAAATTTGGCATACTCAAATCAAATTGACACAATTCAAATATTAAGATAAATTAATTAAGGCCAAAAGGTGAAATAAGTCAAATGCAATAAAAATTATGAGGAATCAAACTCATTTTAAAGGTCAAGTATATTACCATAACTTCAAAAAATGCCTAGTAACTTATTACAGAGAGTTGAGAGTATTAAATACAATTTTTATAATTCACATATTAAAAAATAATTCTATGGTTAAAAAGTAATAAATTATTTGCAGATAAAAGATAAAATTAGTTTTCTAGTACTTTCATAATATATCTAAAGAAGTATATTGTTTGGTAAACTATCGTACTACCTGTAAATAGGAAGAAATCATATATCATATTTAGAAAGTTAGGAACGTATGATTTTGTTTTTCTTTCTAATTTTAAACGCTAGCTCGATAGTGAGCTATAACTTGAGGATTAAATGAACAGGTAAAAGTCAAATAAAAATACTGAAACAAAGTGCAAAACGAAAATGGATTAGTTTCGGTAGTTATTTTGTTTCCATCTGCAAGTATAATTTTGTGACATTTTAAAAGTAAAACAAAAAGCAACAACAAAAGTAGGAACTTACCTTCAATGTAGTGTGCCTTTGGCTTCTGCAATTCAATTTTGTATAGTGACAAACCTTCGACTCTCTTATAATTGTTTCGAAGAGGGTGGAATAGGGAGATAGTGAATGATATTTTTAGTGTTGGCAATTAATGGACTGCAAAATTAGGTTTCTTTCTTTAATTTTTATTTTGTTTTAAAATTATATAACCAATAACAGTTATTTAAAATTTATTTATATATTAATGTTAATTTTCTTTTATTAAACGCGTCAAAGATCTAATCAATCATATTTAAAGTTAATAAAAATCTAAACACAGCTATTAAAATATTTTAGGTGATTAGTGGGCTTTGAAATTCATAGTTATACAACATGCATTATATAAAAAGAAAAAGAAATAGTGATATATATAATCTTACTTCATGTAAAAAACATTAAAAAATCATTTGACTAAATAACTGAGATAAAGACAGAATAAATATAAAAAGGTTAAAAATTAGCATTTAAAGGCATTATTTGAATATATCTTTGTTTTTCATTTGGAAATAAGAGGAATGATGAATTTGCTTTCAAAGAAAGCTGTAACTATTTTTTTAATGTAATGGCAATTGTTAATAGATTTAAGTCTAACAAATGTAGAGAAAAAAAGAACGCCAAACTTCATCAGAATGTTTTTAATGTTTGTTTCTTTTACTTTACATCTTAAAGTATTAGTGACCATGAATCTTTTGACATCTAATCCAACTTACAATCGATTTTAGAAACATTTAACTTTATGTTTGAGACCCATAAAAAATGGCTGACTCCACAAGACACTGTATTTTGTCTGTTCAAATTTTATTGAGTCTTCTAGCAGTCTTTTATGAGTGGTTTAAGATGAATATTGGTGATAGGAACAAGTCAAGAATTTTATACTGAACGAATAGTATTCATTTCTTTTCTTGAGAAATAAATTTACATATTCTCTCTCTCTCTCTCTCTCTCGTCCTATTTCATATATATATATTAGGTTTGCTTATAACCTAAGAGATGCAATGTTCTCTTCCCACCATGCAAGTTTTATTGCAGCTTTTTTTCTGCATAAAAGGTCATGAAATGTAGTTTCTTTTTATGTGTATATATATACCTCTGCAACACCAACCTCATTGTCTTAACTCACATCCTTCAAACCAAAGCCAGAGAAAAAGATGGGCCTGTCTCTGCATAAACTTGCACCAGGTTCCACATTCAACTTCTTGTCTTATTCTTCATTATTCTTGGAAAAACATTTTAACATGTCATATTTATCTCACCTTTTGTTCTGCTTTTTCTTATTTTGTCTCATGTTTTGTGGCTCTATATGCATATTCATGTTCTTACATCAATTATAATCTCTCTTTTTCTGAAAATTTGAGACAGGGGCTGATCAAAAAAAGCTGAAAGAACTTGAACCGATTATAGAAGAAGGGTATGCAAAATTGGTCCAAGAGAAAGACCCCGTGGAATTCCCAGTTTTTTACCGAGCAGTATGCGAGATTGTCGAGTACTTAACCATTTTCGTATCAAAAGCTTGCCAAATTATTGTTTAATTAATTATGAAGTGACACGATTCTGTTATGCTATGTGTAACACTTTTCTCTGTCACAAATTTGCGTCATGTTTTGTCAGGAAACTCAATGAAAAACTCGGAAATACGCAGATTAAACTTCCAGCGACCAAGGATTTAGAGACAGAATTCAACGTAAGTGCATACGTGAGGATTTAGCCAAGTTACTTCTACAAGAAAATATGCTAGTACAATCTTTCCTGCAACACTGTTACTATTATGAAATTTTTAATTCAATAAACAAATTCAATATATATATATATATATATATATATATATATATATATATGTTATAATTGTATTGGTTTTTAATTAATATTTTATTGTTTAGTTTATGTGCATTAGTTTGATATGATAATACTATATAATAATCAGCAGCTAAATGAGATATTTACAACAAGAATTTATTTTTCAAATTCTTTAAAATTTATTTATACTTTAGCATTGGATTATTTTTTTATATCTGTGTTGGAAAGGGGTATGTTAAAAAAGTAGATTAAAAAATTGCAATTCAAAGTGTTTCTCTTTTGATAGAATTAACAGTGTTGATTGTTGTTTGCTTTAATGGGAAATGTAGAAGCGTGAAAAGAGTAAAGATGGGAAAAACAAGGCACTGACAAAAACAGAATTCCAGGAGATAATGAAAAATTTGGTGAAGACATCAGGATTCACTGGAATAGGAGCAAAGGAAGCAATCTTGTGCATTTTTGGTGTTCCATTGGTTGCTCTATTGATAAAGCAGAAAGTGATGCCTGAAGCAGTTCGTGATGAATTTTTCATTCCAGGAGTAACTTCTGCGACAGTTTTCACCCTTGCTGCTCTCAACAAGATTTGATTTATATTATACACCCACCAACATTGTGTTATTATTGCGTTACTCTCTACTTTTGCAACTTCATTACTTCAATGTATCTATGCAGCATTTCATAGGTTCCATGATTTCATACCCACTTCTCTCTGCATTCAGTCTCAGATACTGGAATTAATGAGTCCTAATTGTTGGAATGTCGGAATGGTTAAATAGCTATTCTCATGTTCCAATGTTCATCACTGAATTAATCTAATGTAAACAGAAAAGGCTAAACCAAAAGTTTGAAAGAAAAAAAAAATCAGAAAAATAAAGGTGAAGGTCTTTTCTTTGTAGTTTTAAATTTTTCAAAATATAAAACTACTTTTCAGTTTTCAGTTTGTAAATTTATTTCTTTTTTATTAGCTTTTGAGAACTTCTCAATCTAATAATATTCTTCTGAAATGCTTTATAAAAGAAATGTAAAACTCTTTACCTAATGTGTTAATTTAGAGTGAAGGCATGACAGAGAAGAAAAGAAATATTTTACGTTTTCACAAGCTTAGATCAAAATAGATTATGAAAGATCGAATAGAGATAAAAGAAACTAAAATATAATATGTTTAATATTTAAAGTTCAAGTCTTACATGAATTTAGACAGAACTAGTAACAAATTTGATGCAGTTTCTGAACTATAGCATAACAAACTAAGATTCAGTTAATGATTTTGGATTTTTTTGTGAATTAAATTGGATTAAGTGGGGATTGGATTGAAACAAAGAAAAATAATGTTGACTTAATTGCATTGAGCTATTGACCCTTTTATTTCACATGGACTATTTATATATTCAGCATAATATTATAGCGTCTTCAATATCCATTAAAACTATGCATGGTTGAAGAGTAACTCAAGCTGGATATGTGAGAGTATATGCTGTTATCAGCCGTAACATCTTTTTCATTTTACATTTGTCACATAAAGGGCTGTTGTAGATTATCAACATTTAAAAAACATACAATTGTTGTAGTGAAAACATTGGTTAAAGCAGAGGACGAAGAAAATCTTCTGCACTAATGGTTCTGATAGGTCAAAATATAGCAGCTATGTACACTTGAAGTCGTAACTTAATCAGAAAACACTGAAATTCTATGGCTACTTTCTATATACTTTATAATGCAAAGAAAAAAAAGATGAACCATATTTCCAATCTTTGTCCTTTAATGAAATCGAAACATTAATTACCAATGGTTGGACAGTGATTGCGCACATTAAACAAACACAAATTGGAAAATTTGTTAAATATAGGCTAAAAATAGCATGCAAACAACTTGATTTTAGCACCAATCTCATTTGTGTCATGGCTCTTAGAGATTGTAGGAGACGTGACCCACAGGAACATGAATTTTTCAATGTTCCATTCAAAAATATCAAAACATACCTTCATGAATCAATCACACGGCACGTGCACCAAATTAAGGACAGGTCCTCTAACTTACTTTGCAAGTGACAGCTGTCAGGAGTTTGACACAGTTTGAGGGGCATCGTGCATCTCCTGTAACATCAACATGTCTCCGAACTCTATGGAAATCAAGATGCCAAGAAACAAAAAAGCCTGCGACAACATCCGAGACGGTTTTGGTTCATCAGAAACAAAAAACATCAGAATGGCCGCTTCATCGATAGCCTCCTTTGCATGTTACACAAATTATTGCATGTTTTCCAAGGATGCATGAAAAAAAAAATCATTCTCTGAATGTATTTGAATACGTGGGGTGTCCGTGAATATTATTGATAAGTACCAAATGTGAGGATATAAGGAAGATAGGAGAGAGCAAAATGATTGGAAAAGATAGCGGTGTGATGAAGGCATGGGAGGCAACGATGAGAAAGACGCATGCAGTTGCGAAGAAGCGTGCTAACAGTATATTTGGGACGATATCATTGGCACAGGTTACGGAAGAAGAAGATAACCAGGATGATTATGACGAGGAAGATGAGAATGAGAACGAGGTATATGAGGTATACCTTGAAGAGAAGGTTCTACCTAATGGGGATTACTACACGGGGGAATGGGCAAATAACTTCCCACATGGGCTGGGGAAATACCTGTGGACGGATGGGTGCATGTACGTTGGAGATTGGTACAAAGGGAAGACAAAGGGAAAGGGTAGGTTCAGTTGGCCTTCAGGGGCAACATATGAAGGGGAGTTCAAGGGTGGTTACATGTGTGGGACAGGGACTTACACAGGGTGTAGTGGGGATACTTATAAGGGGCACTGGGAACTGAACTTGAAACATGGTCATGGTTTTAAGAGTTATGCGAATGGGGATTGGTTTGATGGAGAGTGGAAGAAGGGTTTGCAAGATGGGGAGGGGAGGTATGAGTGGAAAGATGAGAGCCATTATATGGGGGAATGGAGGAATGGGAGTATTTGTGGTAAAGGGTCATTTGTTTGGGCTAATGGGAATAAGTTTGAAGGGTTTTGGGAAGATGGCGTGCCAAAGGGGAATGGGATTTTCAGGTGGGCAGATGGAAGTTCTTATGAGGGGAATTTCAGCAAGGATGGGAAGGATCCGAATGGGACATACCATCCAAGTGAATCAGAAGAGGGGGAGGGCCATAGTAATTGGGATCCTCAAGAGTTGTATAGTGAGTTGAGTGGCTATTTGGTTTGCCCTGGAGATAAGGTTCAGGTTATGCCATCACAGAAGAGGCTTGCGGTTTGGAGGTCCGCAAAGACTGGGGAGAGTGCTAAAAATAGGAGAATGTCAGTGGATGGAAGGGTCAGTATTGGCTTGGACAGAACAGCTGATAGGTTGCAAACGTTGGATGGTGGGGAGAGTGATGGCAGTGCTAAAACTCCAACCATGGGGAGTGATCTCGAGGAAGACTTGACTGCTTTACGTGTAGAAGATGCTGCTGAAAATTTGGCTCAACTCCAACCTCTCAAAGCACCCAAGAAGTCAAAGAGGCAGGGAGAGACCATTTGCAAAGGACACAAAAATTATGAGCTCATGCTCAATTTGCAGCTCGGACTCAGGTTTGTGTTCTTGTTCTTAAATTTTTCATAATTTCAGGCTCTCTCATTGCTTTCCTTTTCCTCCTGCCTGTGACTTTGCAAATATTTCATATTTTATAATTTCTTCAACTTCATAGGCATTCTATTGCAAGGCCAGCTCCCACAGCATCACTTGATCTGAAGCCTGCAGCTTTTGATCCTAAGGAGAAAGTGTGGACAAGATTTCCACCCGAAGGATCCAAATATACTCCACCACATCCATCTTGTGACTTTAAGTGGAAGGACTATTGCCCGGTAGTTTTTAGGTCAGCCATATTATTAATTAATCTGTTCTTCCTGTTAGTTATTCTGCGCATATAATCAAGTCATCCAATTAACACATTTATGACATTTCCTTTTGTCATTACGCTAATAAGTGGTTCCCTCCTTCCATAAACCAGTTTAATTTTGATATATTACATGTAATCAAAGTGATAAAAAAATGGTAGAATTCCACCAAAACTAAGCTATATTCAAGTAGTTAGATGTAGTTACTGAATGAGATTAACGCTCATAGATTGCACTCTGTCCTCAGAACTCTTAGGAAGCTATTCATGGTGGATCCAGCTGATTACATGTTATCCTTATGCGGAAATGATGCCCTTCGCGAACTTTCCTCTCCTGGAAAAAGTGGCAGCTTCTTTTACTTGACCAATGACGACAAATACATGATTAAGACAATGAAGAAAGCTGAAGTGAAAGTGAGTTCCACTCTGGTCTTTCCGTATTTGAAATTTCTCAGGAACCATGATACATTTCTTAAAATTTGGCCCTGCTTGATTTGTGTTCAGGTTCTATTGAGACTTCTTCCATCCTATTACAATCACTTTCGAGACTACAAAAATACTCTTTTGACAAAGTATTATGGACTGCATTGTGTGAAGTTAAATGGACCTATTCAGAAGAAGGTACGTTCATATTGTTAGTGTCAACACACGAAGTCCCCTCTAACAGAAATTTGTATGAAACGGCGATGACTCGTTTGCTTCCTTTCCAGATTAAACTTTGAATATATCTTATGTTGTACAAACTTCAAACTTTTGGCATTGAGTTAACTAGTGTTTATTCTTGTATGAAAATAGGTATTTCTGTGAAGTTTCTATAATAAGCTTCTTAATATGTTTGGCTTTCCAGGTTCGGTTTATCATAATGGGCAACCTCTTCTGTTCTGAGTTTATCACCCATAGACGCTACGATCTGAAGGGTTCTTCACTTGGACGCACCTCAGATAAGCCTGAGACAGAAATTAGTGAAACCACTATACTTAAGGATCTTGATCTTAATTTCATATTTCAACTGGAGAAGTCACATTTTGAAGAATTTTGCAGGTGATAAGGGCTGGCTGTAATACCTTAATTTATAATTTTGTATGTAAAAGTTAAATTGGACTACAATTGTGGGTTTTGAAAATCAGTTATTTCAATTGTGATCAAATACACGGATATGTTTAACAAATGATGAAATTAAAATTCACTCACTTGATTTTCCAATGATTGATTATAATTTTTTGTAGCAAATAACTAAGTTAAACAATTGGGAATCAACATTAGTTCCGCAGTTTTAATTCATTGTCTTATGTCAAATTAAACTAAGCATATATTTTGTTCTGCAGACAAGTTGATTTGGACTGTGAGATTCTGGAACAGGAGGGAGTTATGGACTATAGTCTTCTGGTGGGCATTTATTTCAAAGATATTTCGCCAGACGGGGAAATTATTCCTATACAATCTCGAACTCCTGCTGGTAATTTTCTTATCCTAAATGAACTATGTCTAACCTTATATTTAAATAAATGTGTGAGTATATGAGCTTTGACAATCCAATGAAGACCATTTCTCTCTCCAACTTCAGGTGATTTAGAAAATGAAGGAACTCCCGATACCACAAGTGAAGCCAAAGATGAACCTCCTTCTGATCCTTCTAGGTGAATGTTTGTTTAAAGTTGTTTTATCATACATAAGTATACTGTTATATGGATTTAGCCTTATACTACGTTAAGAATGTATAGTATATAACATTTTAACATTTTCTGTCATTGTCTAATGTTGCTTTCTATGTTATGTAAGAATTTATCACTCCTTCACGATTAAAGCTTATTATGGTTGTCTGTGTCTATCTGGGTATCTGTAGTGTGAAGTTGGGTGTGAACATGCCAGCAAAGGTTGAAAGGACGGTGAGAAGAAGTGGTTGTGAATTACAGCTTATAGGAGAACCAATTGGAGAGTTCTATAATGTTTCGTTGACTTTTGGAATCATAGACATACTTCAAGACTACGACATTAGCAAGAAGCTTGAGCATGCCTACAAATCCATTCAATATGACCCGACTTCAATATCAGCCGTTGATCCTATACAATATTCAAGGCGTTTTCGTGATTTCATACTTAGAGTATTCACTGAAAACTCTTGAAAGGTATACATGGTTCTTTCATTTCCTTATGAGTGCAGCATGGTTGCAAATATCCACTGCAGAAATAGCAACGTTGGGAAGGGAAATTTTGTTTATACAATCGAGATTAAGATGATTTTGGACATTATTCTTTATTGTACCTTCTTAATTTCCTACATTCTTTGTATAGTTCGGACGTACAGCATAAATAGCGTAAGTGAATACATGATGGAGAACACTCTAACAAGAGCGACTATGTATGTGTATTTTGTAGCTAGAATATATTACTGTATCGTTTATTAGTAATTCTTTTCTAAGAGATGACATGGAATTCCTATCTGATTGGAATGTATATACTAAATGGATCAATGTATATGTTTACTATTTTTGTTTCTCTCACTTCTGTTTGATGCGGGTTTTTCTGTCAGAACAGGGTTGTCACGTGTACTTGTAAACTCAACTTCTAGATTCTCATGAGAGTGAGTCACCATGAATATAATATCATACCATCAACATTTCAAAACCACAGTTTATGGAAATAATAAACAATAAATTTGTAATTCTAAAGTTTTATAGTAAATTACTATGATATAATTAATAAGAAACTGCATTTAAATATATATGTTCATGCAATTACAAGAAGTAAGTTCTTGAGGAAATAATAACTATTAAATAAATAAAATTGAAAAAATGTTTTCAAATTTTTGTCTTCGATTATCTAATGATATTATTATTCCTAAAATTATTATGATCACTTCCAAATTGTTTTCTCATATATACATAAAGAATGTTAACATGAAAAAATATATTATCAATATCAAATATGTCCATCTAAAAGTAGAATTTGAACTAGTTCTGTTTTTAAACATTTTAAAATTTATACATTTAAACATGAAATAGAAACAGAAAAATTAAAATAAATTTAAAACAAAACTCATCCAACATAAAAGAAAAAATCAATGAAAAAGAGGGT